GCCATAAAAATGAATGAGTTCATGTCCTTTGCAGGGACATGGATGAAGCTGGAAACCATCATTCTCAGCAAACAAACACAACAACAGAGAACCAAACATCGCATGTTCTCACTCCTAAGTGGGAGCTGAACAATAGAACACGTGGACACAGGGCAGGGAACATCACACATTGGGGTCTGTCGGGGGTGGGGGTCTAGGGGAGAGATAGCATTAGGAGAAATACCTAATGTAGATGACGGGTTGATGTGTGCAGCAAACCACCATATAATTATAATAATAATAATAATAATAATAATAATAATAATAAAAAGAACTTTCTGTGCCAGCACCTCATATCCTCATTCTCTGCAGCTGAGAAAAGGGGTTGAATACAGGGGTTGACATGTTTTACAATGTTGTCTTTTGACTCAAACTTCAGTGGCTCTACCCAGCCTTTCTTCTGTGGGCACATGCACTCTCACTACATTTCCAGCCTTTTTTCTTCAAACCTGGTAGTATGTTTTACCTTTTTTGTTTTGAGCGTTTTTGTCTCAAATTTCCTCTTTGGTCTCTGTTCATGTCTTTATCCCCGAGTTCAACTTATGATTGACAAGGAAGGCAGTGTGTTGTGGGAGCACGAAACACAGACTCTGGAGTAAGCCTACCTGGTTTCCAATCCTAGCTCTGCTAATTAGAGGCCAAGTGGAACTAGTAGCTTACTTGACATCTTAGCATCCCTGGCTATAAAGTAGGAGAATATTAATAGATCTTGTTTTATAGGTTTAATATACAGATGAAATGTGTCCATTTTTGTGAAGTGTTTACAGTAGTGTCTGCATACTGATAACTGCTTTATAACTAAAGATTAAATGCATTGAATTTTGTCTTGATAATTTGTGGTTAATTAGCTTTCTGTTACTGATAGCAATGTTTTGGAATGCAAAAGTGTTTCTTCTTCATATAAATATGTCAATTATTCTTTCTTTTTTGATTTCTAATTTTTTTCATACTCAGTGAAGATTTCATTAACTAAGAATATATATAGTTTTATTATGGCGTATTTATTTTTGTATTTAAGTATTTCATATAGATTTTAACAACAGCTTTACTCTGATATTCTCCACAAACCGTAAAATTAACCCATTCAAAGTGTGCAATTCAGTGCTTTCTACTATATTAGCAAAATTGTGCAGCCATCATAGCTATCAAAGTTTAGAATATTTTCATCCCTCCAAAAAGGACTTCAGACTTATTAGCAGGTATTTCCCCCTCCCCCATCCCCTCAGTCCCTGGTTACCACAAATCTGTCTTCTATGTCTATGGATGTGGTCATTCAGGACATGTCATATAATTAGACTCAGACAATTTGTGGCTTTTTGTGTCTGGCTTCTTTCACTTAGAATATTAATTTCAAGATTCATACAAAGGCCCTAAGGCTGAAAAGAAAGGTTTATTCATGTTGCAGTATATATCAGTACTTTATTCCTTTTTATTGTCAAATAATCTATACTCCATTGTATAGATACACTACATTTTATTTATCCATTCATCCATTGATAGACATTTGGGTTGTTTTCACTTTTTGCCTTTTATGAATAATATAGCTATGCACAGTTGCATACAGAAAGTATCAGACATGTTTTCAGTTCTTTTGGGTATGTACATAGGAATGAATTGCTAGTCCTAGGTAACTTAATTTAGCTTTTTGAGGAGTGGCCAAACTGTTATCCAAAGCAGAGGCACCATTTAATATTCTCACTAGCAATGTGTGAAGGTTCCAAATTTTCCACATCCTCTCCAACATCTGCAATTGTCTCTTTTTTATTTTAACCAGTGTAGAGCATATGAAGTAGTATCTCACTGAGGTTTGTTTGCATATCCTTAGTGACTAGTAATGCTGAACGTGCTTTCATGTGCTTATTGTTCATTTGTAAATCTTTTGAGAAATGTTCGTTTGAATCCTCTACCTATTATTTTAACTAGACTATTTGTTTTATTTTGTTTTGTTTTGAGACAGAGTTTCACTCTGTCACCCAGGCTGGAGTGCAGTGGAACGATTTCGGCTCACTGCAACCTCCACCTCTCGGGTTCAAGCAATTCTTGTGCCTCAACCTGCTGAGTAGCTGGAATTATAGGCATGTGCCACCATGCCCAGCTAATTTTTGTATTTTTAGTAGAGACGGGGTTTCCCCATGTTGGCCGGCTGGTCTCGAACTCCTGACCTCAGGTGATCTGCCTGCCTTCGCCCCCCAAAGTGTTGGGATTACAGGTGTGAGCTACCATGCCCAGCCTATTTGCTTTTTGATTGCTGAATTGTAATTACTCTTTATATATTCTAAATAGAAGATCCTTATCAGATAAATTTTCTTCAGATAGTTCCTCTTTTCTACAGGGTATCTCTTTACTTTCTTGATGTCTTTTGAGCAGCAAAATATTTTACTTTTTATAAAGCTGAATTTACCTATTTTTCTTTGGTATGTTGTGTGTGGCTGTTGAGATTCACTCTTAGTGGTGAGCTAACGATGGAACAGGGATTTAATTAAATGCCTTGCATCAGTAAGTCTCCCAGGCTTTGTTGAGGTTCTCTAGCTCTGTTTTGTGTTACAATATGAGTGTTCCTATATAGTTCACGACTCTATCTTAGCCTTCAATTTCTGCTTGTGTAGAGCCTTATGTGCAGCTAGAGATGAGAGAATAGGGATTCACACGTCTCTACTGAGCGTGCACACAGTCCTGCACGTTTGTGTGGCCTTCTAGACTCCTAAGAATTTGTGGAACTCTACAAATTTCTCTATGGAGCACCCATTCCTCAGGTTTATCTTGTAATGTTTATTTAGTCAAACACTACTGTTATCTACAACTAGTATCTCTGCTGCAGAAAGTTGTAATGTTAAACAACTGCTGTTGTTTCCTTTCAATAAAGATTTTAGGGGGAAGGTGTGGTGGCTGATGCCTGTCATCCCAGCACTTTGGGTGACTGAGGCAGGAGTTCAAGACCAGCCTGGCCAACATAGTGAAAACCGAGTGTCTCTACTAAAAATACAAAAATTAGCTGGGCGCAATGGCTCACTCCTAGAATCTCAGCAATTTGGGAGGCTGAGGCGGCTGAATCACCTGAGGTCAGGAGTTCGAGACCAGCCTGGCTAACATGGTGATCCCTGTTTCTACTAAAAATACAAAAAATTAGCCAGGCATGGTGGCACGCACCTGTAGCACCTGTAATCCCAGCTACTCGGGAGGCTGAGGCAGGAGAATCGCTGGAACCCGGGAAGCAGAGGTTGTAGTGAGATGAGATCATGTCATTGCACTCAACGTCGGGCAACAAAAGCGAAACTCCATTTCAAAACAAAAACAGAAACAAAAACTAACCGGGTGTGATGGCGTGCCCCTGTGCTCCCAGCTACTCGGGTGGCTGAGGCAGGAGAATTGATTGAACCCGGGAGGCAGAGATTGCAGTGAGCCGAGATCATGCCACTGCACTCCAGAGCCTGGGAACCCTGTCTCTCTCTCTCTCTCTCTCTCTCTCTCTCTCTCTCTCTCTCTCTCACACACACACACACACACACACACACACACACACAGACATTAGGGAAGGGATGAGACTCTTTACACAGAGTGAGTTTTAAGCGTTGCTCAAAGCTCAAATAAAAAGAAGTCATGAAAATGTATATTTTTGAGGAGCTGCTAATCTATCCAACAGGTCCAATTCTCTCAGGATGCAGTCTTGGAGGAGCTTCAGACTTGCTCTTTCTCTTCCATTGTCTTCTAGGATGATGATTTTCATAGCTGGCATAATTTCAAGGAGCCTAGTTCAAGGCCACCATGCAGCTGTGGAGAGGTGTTGAGGAAGTAAAGTTAAAATGCCACATAAATTTTGCCATTCTTATTAGGAGCCAGCCACTTTTTGAATAAATACTTTGTGGGCTGTTGTGAGCCTTTCTCTATTTCCAGAATTCTGAAAAAAAAAAAATGATTTTGGCAATTTTTGCCAGAATAATCATTATCATAATGGAAGAGAAAATGTTCTGGTCTTTGCTGTTCTGGAGGTGCTTCGTGGATTTGATTTTCACAGTGCAAGTTTATTTCCTTTCTTTTTTTTTTTTCAAAATGGTTATGCATTTATCTCCATTATTTTGAAATGGTATGGTTATTTTATTCAAGTGTGTTGATGGTATCTGGGCTTGGAAAATAAATGCTATTCTATGTTATGTCTATAAATGTTATGGAGATCACACTGCTTTAATAATTATTTTTATTGGTAAATAGATAATTAAGTAATATAGAAGTAGTAGATAACTACCAGGGTGAAGAATGCAGTTAACAGGTATTTGTTTTAGCCATTCATAAGAAGAAAACACCTTATAGCTGTGCTAATCTTTTTTAAAATTTTTTTATTTGTAATTATTTATTTATTTAGAGACAGAGTCTCACTCTGTTGCCCAGGTTGGATTGCCGTGGCACGTTCTCGGGTCACTGCAACCTCTGCCTCCCAGGTTCAAGCAATTTTCCTGTCTCAGCCTCCTGAGTAACTGTGACTACAGGTGTGTGCCACCACACACAACTAATTTACGTATTTTTAGTAGAGACATGACATCATCGTGTGGGCCAGGCTGGTCTTGAACTCCTGACATCAAGTGATCCACCTGCCTTGGCCTCTCAAAGTGCTGTAATTACAGGAGTGAGGCCACCGTGCCTGGTTGGCCTGTATTAATCTTGAAAATGGGAACTAAATTAGAACACATATGTAGAAACTAACTTACTTTATATATTAAACACACATTTCAAATAAATATTTAAAAGCTGTATTTATGAATTGAGATGATGCTTTTTAAACAAAACATATTATTAGAAAATTATAATTACAGATCCTTTACACTTATACACCCAACAATACTCATTTTGATAATTTTAAAACAGTATTTTAGTCTATATGTTTTGCACCTGAATACACCTTTTAAAAAACGAAATTGTTGCAATTAATTCAAAATGCAAACACCTTGTTTTATTTCATTTTTTAATAGGATTTTGGAGATGATGGGTCCTTGTACATTACCAAGGTGACCACAACTCACATGGGCAATTACACCTGCTATGCAGATGGCTATGAACAAGTCTATCAGACTCACATCTTCCAAGTGAACGGTAAGAAATGATTTTTGTTACCCTGACTATTCAAAGAACACCATAGTTTACTAGGAAGGGAAGCCTTCAATTTTTTTTTAATTTTGCTAGGTACTAATAATATTTCAAGTTTTGAGACTCAATTGATAATGTAAAAGTTTTTTAAGTAAATAAATAAATAAATAAATAAATAAAAACAAAAAAACCCACAAAGTTTCCAGGTGAATAAGCACTATAAATTAGTCCTATTTTTGTTATCATAAAATGTTAAAGTAACTCATTTTAATTGGAGAATTAGAACACGAGACATTTATATTATTTTTTAGTTTAGAATATTAACAACTAGGCAAGCATAAATTTTTAGAAACAAAAATTTTGAATAGATCATCTATCTAATTGATTGCATTAATGATATAGACTACTATTATTCATGTAGAGCAAATTTTATACTCTTGACGGTTAATTTAATGGCTGTCTATGAATGTTGACCAGGTGGGCTGATATCATTCCTACCATCAGAGTTTTTCTTTATTTCTGATTTAATTTAAATTGTGGTTATTTACTAGCATTAATACAGGATTGCATATGTGACTTATTAGTAAACATTTCATTTCCATAATTTATTGTAATATATATGTTAATATGCTCTATGATTTATAAAAAGGAGGCAGAAACTTACTTGGCTTTCTGTCGGAAAAGCAAGATGGCCAGTGTGATGAGCATGAATTTAGAGCAGAGTGGCAGATGATGAGCTTGTAGAGGTAGCCTGGGGACAGATCACACGGAGCTCTGTGGACCTAGGTAAATATTTGGATTTCCATTCTAAGTATAAGGGGATGCTATCGAAGTGTTTAGTATATGGAGTAGCACATTCTGATTTTTTTAAAAAGCAAATGAATAGTTTAAAGACTATTTTAGTGTCCAAGTAAGAGATAGTGGTAGCTTAAAATATAGTCTTAATGGTGGAGTTATAAAGAAGTGGTCACATTTGGAATATATAGAAGTACTTCTGGGGGTATCACTGAGGAATAGCATGTGAGTGCGAGAGTTAAAAAATGATCTTAAGGAATCTGAAAGAAACAGTTAGCTATATGGGCGTGCCATTTACTGCTTTGAAGAAGGAACACATTTTGGGATTGGGTGAGATTAAATTTTAGCATGTCAACTTAAATATAATTATCGATGGAAATGTCAAGTATTCAATTGAGGAACATGAAAGCCCAAAGTTGTATGTTCAGGTAATATCAATATGTATAAATTGCACTTAAAGTAATATATCTAAGCTTAATTAGGTCACGTTAGAAATAAGTATAGATGGATATGAAGTCAGAGGATTGAGTCTTGGATCTGAGGTTAACAAGTGGAGAAGACTGAGAAGGAGAACCCTGTGATGAGAAGTACGTGTACTGGAAATCAATTAATAAAATGTTCCAAAAAGTTTGAAAATATTGGGCAATCTGATTTAACTATTGTTGACACTCCAAAGGAGCAGATCTAGTTCTTGGTTTCTTGTGAAAATACAGCTGACATCTAGACATAATCAAATCTTTGAACCCAACTTCCCATGAAACCAGGGAAGAAAGCAGACAAGACGCAAAGCTGATTCATGCTGTTCCCAGTGGCCTCAGATGTTTGGAGATGGACTTTCATATATATAGTAATTATACCTGCTGATACACAATCTTGAAGGAGTAGGACAAGTGTGTGCTGAGGATGCTCCTCCCTCTATGTAAATGCTGCCTCCATGGGGAAATTGTTCTGGCACATCTGGCCCTCACTTTCTATTTTGTGGCGAATGCTTACTGACTGTTCGCCTATTCAACAAGATTAGTGTCCTGCCTTTTTTTTTTTTTTTTTTTTTTTTTTCAACATTAGAGAAAGAGAGTCTCCAATTTTGTTTTTGGCTAACAATTAATTCTGTCTTTTATCTCTTATCCTCACTCCCAGTCCTAGTTCGTTCATGTAAGAGTTCCTAGTAGTTTTTAGAGTGTATGGTGCATGTTCCCCATCTGCATCAGAATCGTATAAAAGAAAAGATCACAAGTGCAGAACCCTGGCCTTCACCAGCACTCTCAGGAAGTCTGATTTGAAATCTGCATTTTGAAAAGCGTCTCAGGAAATTATGATACGTGGTAAAGTGTGACAACTATTCTAAACGGCTGCTCTTCAGGAGCTGCTGCTCCTCATTCATGTCTGATGTAGGTTTCTGACATAACTTACTCATTTGCCATGCCCCAGCTGAGAAACCCACGGAGGAGACTTTGAGCCAAACTGTGGGCTTTCATGTTGCAAGGTTGCACTGAGCAGCACTGGGGAAGGGCAGCTTCCCTATTTCATCCCCTCCTGTGAATGAACTGCTTACTCTCTGATCTCAGGTTTTCCTGAAGATGGAATATGGGAATAAAGAAATAATGAGGTCTCAGAAACAGAGTGCTCCCCATCAGCCTTAGCATTATGAATTAATGAAAAGGAATTCAATATTAGCAGTGATTTCTTGTGCTGAACTCCAGTGCTTTTCCTTTTCGAGATACAAGGGTCCCTGAACCAATATCCCACAGGGAGCAAAACCAGTTTCTTTCCATTACGTCCCATAACATTTAAACTGCTCTGACTTTCTTGGTATAAAGATTTTCAGGAAGGGATGGGGTTTGGAGAGAAAACCAATGATATTATCATTGCTGAGAGGGCAAACAAGATGAGGAGTATAATTTAAGCACTAGATTTCAGTACTTGTGTGCAATTATTAACCTTTCCAAGACCAGCTTTTGCCAAGTATTGGTGATAAAACTATGATTATAGTCAATTCAAGAGAGAAAGGAAAGTGAAAAAATAAAGAACACGTCTATCATGAACTCTTTTAAAGGAGAACATTTGCTGAAAGTAAAGAGAGAACTTTGCAGTAGCTGCAAAGCGCCTGCATTCAAGGGAGTGGATTTTATAAAAGTTATAGATATGATCATCTTTTATGCTGATGGGAATAATCCAGTAAAGATGAAAAGCAGATAATTTATAAGACCAAAAGGATAATTATAGTAACAAATCAATTAAATTTAAAATTGATGTGATCTAATTCACAGAAGGACGGACTGCTCTTTGGAAGATGAATAGTTCCTCTGTTGAAACACAGAGAAAGACACACTGTTTGGGAAAAGATTCACAGTGCAGGAGCATGAGGACGTCCTTTTTGCATTACCTGAATTTTCTTCAGGGAAATGAATAATACCAATGGTTGAAAGTGAAGAGTTTATAATAGCTTTAATGGTTGTGGGAGGGAAGGAAATGTCAAATAATTATCTTGCAATGCAGGAGGGTGATTGAAATAACAATATGTAGTTGGTGTGTTGGGGAGAGCTTGTAGTATTCATGAAGTATGTTTTCCTTCTGTTGTGGTTGACTGTAAAGTGGCCATGAGAGAAGAAAAAAGACTTTGATTTAGCGAGCGTTTGTTTGTCAGGTGAGTAAGTGGGGGATAGTTAGGAGTGAAGAAGTTAAATAAGTTTACAAGGGAGTGATTATGGTAGGTCACAGACTAAGTGTGAGATAAGGACACAGGAGAGGACATGATAAATGTGACATGAAAATTGACTGGCATTCCCAAGGATCAAATATTACTAGAATAAGGTACTAGAGAGGAAGATATGCAATACCCTCACTCGAAACATTTTCTCAAAGCAGCTGGCAATTTCAGTTTCGAAAAAAATGTTTCTAGTTAGGTCAAGTCTATATAAAGGACTGTGTGGACCACTAAGGTTTGCTAGGGTTTTAAGCAGCCCAAAGTCCTAATCTAATTTGCCTCTTCTATTCTTAACCACTAGGAGAAATAAGGTATAAAATATCACTGATTTATCAAATTCAACTATCATTGATCAAAAACTTGTTCTGCTGCATTTATATCAACAAGGGAAGGCAATAAGTTTGTTTCAAAGTTCATTTTATATTTGTTTTAAACAGTGAGGGATTAACTTTAATTGCTATAACATAGACCCAAAAGGCCAGGGGCTCAAAGGAGATACGAGTGTATTCTTCTAACATATAAAAAGATAGGGCGGTTTGGGGATGGCAGATCTAGAATGTCTTCAGTATCATAAGCTTCCCCTATTATGATTAGCAAACAGTTTCTACCCTCAGTCTCATCCTCTGACTTCAAAATGGCTGTGAAAATTCTGTAGACCTTTCAACAAGGAAACAGGAAGAGGCAGGCAGGGGGAAATGACACCTGGCACATGAGAAATAACTTTTTTTTTTTTTCTTTGAGACGAGTCTTGCTCTGTTGCCCAGGCTGGAGTGCAGTGGCACGATCTTGGCTCACTGCAAACTCCAACCCCCGGGTTCAAGCAATTCTCTGCCTCAGCTTCCCCAGTAGCTGGGATTACAGGATTACAGGTGCCCTCCACCACTCCTGGTTATTTTTTTTTTCTTTTTTTTAGTAGAGACAGGTTTCACCATCTTAGCCAGGCTAGTCTTGAACTCCTGACCTCGGGATTCATCCACTTCGGCCTCCCAAAGTGCTAGGATTACAGGTATGAGCTACCACACCCAGCCGAGAAAGCACTTTTTAAAAAGGTTTTAATGAAAGCACCAGTGGTAACTTCCATTGATCCTCCCTAAATGAAAACAAGTGGCATAACATATTTCTCTGACTGTGATATACTGCCACCCACAACAATATAAAGATTATGTTATCTAGAAGAAAGGGGAAAATAAGTATCAGGTAGGTAACTATCCACCTTATTTACAAAGTTTCTGATCTATCAAAATATTTTGCCAAACAAAAACTAGAATAATGACACTTTATAATAACATATCTAGAAATGGTGGGATAAGTTACACAACCACAGCCCTGAAATTAGTACTGTCTCTTTTTTGGGGTGTTCCCCTCCTTTGGTTTTATGATGTTTTGTATTTGGCATAAGAACTTTAAATGCATGTTTTTTATGTCAAGAAGTATAGCATACTTGGGATTACTCAAGTGTTATAAATCAATAACAACAAACAGTAGTTGGGAATGAGGAATAATACTG